CCCTAAGGCCCCCGTAAGCCCTAATGCCCGAGCCCCCCAGCCCCTCGCAACCCCTAAGGTCCCCTGCCCCTAAGGCCCAAGCTCCCGCAGCCCCTAAGGCCGAAGCGCCCCAGCTTCCCAACCCCTTTAAGCCCCTCCAGCCCCTAAGGCCCCCCTGCCCCTAAGGCATAAGCCCCCCTGGCCCTGACCCTTCTAATGCTTTCCCACTTTGGGAATTTGAATCATGTTAAATGTCATGAACAAAAAAGCATATAACAAAGGAAATTATGGAGCACGTATGCCATATACTAACCTCACAGAAATCATTCCAATACTTGTCAGTGCAAGTTGAGGTATTCTTGATTGGATCCCATCCTAGTCCAGTGTTTGTGTGGAGGGCGAGCTCCGTGTTGAATTTTTTCTTTAGTCGTTCCTTTGCCTATTTAACGCGCCCTGGAGGAATAGGTGGTGAAAAAAGTAGGGACAAATCTTTTACCCATTATTCCCAATCCATTGATTCAGGTTGACGGCCCCTGTTATTTTTATTGTAGTCCGCAAGTTGCTTCAAAAGTGTAATTTTTTGTTTCTCAGACCAATAGAAGGTCACGTCATCCTCACTCTGTCGTGGCATCTAATACATACAATCCAAGACCACCAACCACGAGAACAAAGAGACATATGCCACGGCAAAGAAGAATAGATGTTTAAAGCAAAACAGGTCAACTCATTTGACAATAAAGGAGAAAGAGGATTAAAGTACATAATCGTTTGATTGGTTCAGATTTGGTTATAACTGTATCATCACAGTTTCGGAGCATTATCCTCCTGGGATGGCACTTATGCTACCAAACCATATAGTAATAGGCCAGGGATTTAAAAGCATAGGTCATAATGAAATAACAAATGACAACATATGGCATTCAATCCAAACAAATCTCATTACATGCAGTAGCAACTGATAAATGCCATACACCAAGAGGATATCGCTACAATGAAACAGATATGTCAAAAAAATCATCACTACCAAAGTACTAAATCCAATAAGAATAAAGAGTTCATCTGCACAACATATATGTACAGAGGGAGTAATATTAGCACCGGTGACATGGTATGAGCATTATTGGGATATTCAGCAAGCTGTATATAATATTTGTAATAGATATGAATGTATATCTCTATAGTCAGTGAACTAAAGTATGTCCACAGTTGTACAACTGACAAAGAAATCCACCAAATTGTAAACTCGTGACAGATGCCATTGTCATGGGAAACTAGATTCGTTTTTTCCTTTTATCCAAACACAAGAGTTCACAAAAGGAGAAGTCTAATTTCAAGCTCAGTAAATGTCCATAGTAAGTTCTCGCTTTTAGTTTGTATTTTGTTCTCTTTATCGAAGAACATCACTTTTAGTTTAACATTATTTTATCTTTTGCCTTACATTTCAGTTTTTTCCCAAAAATGTCCATAGTATGTGTATATAGATAGGTAAAAATCTAAACTATGCAAATCAATGTTACAAAGAACATGGCTGGAAACCAACAACGAAAACAACAACGAACATGGCTGGAAACCCATTCTTAAGGGATCTAGTCAATTAAGGTATTAGGCAACTAGATGATGCTCCTCCAGTCCTCAACAGAAGAATGGTGGATGAAAATGGAAATACAAAGAGAAAGGATCTACAAACTTACCGAGTTGGATCCGATGGATGAATGTGGATGCTCTTCCAGCAAAAACCCTAATTTAGATGATGACCTACCAAAATTTCTCCACCACCGACTGTGGAAAAAACTCAACTGATTACGGTGGTGCAAGGGATTACGTTACCGGTTGTGGGTACATCTACCCAAAAGAACGGCCAATGGCGGGTGGCGAGGACTGCGTTGTTTCTGAGTTATTTTTGCCGTTTTAGGCCGAGGGAAGAAGCCATAAAAGGTTCCTCTCTCATAAAAAAACACAGATCTGCGAATATGATTCACCACCAAAGGGGAAAACATTTTCAAAATTGAGGGAATCTCTATGAATGATGGGAGTCGAGAGAGGAGAGAGCAATTTCTCAAAAGATGAGAAATAGAGCAACGGTCAGGAGCGCAGGGGAATTTGAAGGAAAAAGTCGAGACCATCACGTGGAGGGGAACTGTAGAGACATGTTCGAGTTATGAGAGTTTGAGGGGTAGTTGAATTCCGTTCCGGAGGAGTAAATTTGAGTTGTAACTCGAATTTGATTTCGAGTTGAGGCTGCCGAATGCCAACTTGGGCTGAGCTCACAGTTTGAGTTGGGCTGATTCGAGCCCTATCCAGGAAATGAACACACCCTTAGTTAAGAAATATTTACAATATTTATCCTTTGTAACAGTGTATATAAACACACAACCAATATTGAGATTGAATAATAACATAATTATTCATTTTCTCTTAATTCTTCTTGTTTTGTCTGTTATTTGTAATATGGTATCAGAGAAAATATTTTGTTGTTCATTCTGATCATCTTTCAATTCATCGTCTTCTCTGATGTTTCAATCTTGTTCTCAGATCTGTTTGGCTTCAATCATTCAGATTCGCTCTTCTCTATTGTTCTGCTCTCATTCCCGGATCTGTTTGGCTTTAATCATTGAGATCCGTCATCAGCTTTCATGGCTTCCTCAGTTTTTGA